TCAGAAGGCCAACCGCATCCTGGGCTGTAACAAGAAAAGTGCGGCCAACAGGTCGAGGGAGGTAATTCTGCCCCTCTACTCCGCTCTGGTGAGACCCCACCTGGAGTATTGCATCCAGCTCTGTAGACAATTGCATCCAGCTCTGGAGCCCTCAGCACAGGAAAAACATGGACCTGTTGGAGAAGGTCCAGAGGAGGGCAACGAAAATGATCCGAGGGCTGGAGCACCTCTCCTATGAAGACAGGCTGAGAGAGTTGGGGTTGTTCAGCCTGGAGAAGAGGAGGCTTTGAGGTGACCTCATTGTGGCCTTCCAATACCTGAAGGGGGCCTATAGGAGAGATGGGGACAGACTTTTTAGCAGGGTCTGCTGTGACAGGACAAGGGGTAATGGTTTTAAACTAAAAGAGGGTAGATTTAGACTTGACATAAGGAAAAAATTTTTTACAATGAGGGTGGTGAAGCAGTGGAACAGGTTGCCCAGAGAGGTGGTGGAAGTCCCATCCCTGGAGGCATTCAAGGTCAGGCTGGATGAGGCTCTGAGCAACCTTATCTAGTTGGAGATGTCCCTGCTCACCACAGGGGGGTTGGACTAGATGACCTCTGAAGGTCCCTTCCAGCCCAAATGATTCTATGATTCTATGATCTATTACAATCCTTTCGTGAGTTGATCAGTTCTTTGCCTTTTTATGTATTCTGCCTATAACCAACCCATTTTAGGAAAGACACAAACGAGTCCTCACTGTGAGAGATCTCAAGCGCATAAAAGCAGAAGCAGCTCTCTGTGTTGATTAAGTAACTATCCATCCAAAACACTCATAGAGGTCAAGTGCTTGCAGAAACTGTGAATGAAAAGGACTGCTTCACTGCCTCAGGGCTTAATTTGAGTCATAATTCATCTGTTGTTTCTTTGTGTCCTAGCTACCATATAAAATGTTTTAATACACTACAACAAAACCTTAGTCAAGTCAATCAGCTTATGTGAAGGTATGAATTAAAGCAAAAAGGGGTAGAGATTACTAGGTCAATTACATCAGTGGCTAATGTTAAAAAAAAAAAAACAAACACTGATCTAGGGCAGATACAAACACTTGAAAGAACAAATCCTCCAGAACCTCTCCACAGTCAGCCCTATCTGCTCTTTCTACACAAACTCCTGCGGAACTCACCAGGAGAGCGTTCAGGAGTAGCACCTCCTCCACTCATGCACCAACATGCAGTACCCATCTTCCTCAATTTGCAAAACTTAAAGTTTTCTGCAACTTTTCCCCATTTCACAAGGTACAAATATTTACATGTAAAATTTTCAGTCAGGCTTACCTTTTTGCTTTCCTCCATTTCATGTTCAAACATTGCATTAAAAACTGGAGATCGTGCTATATCAAGAAAAGTAAATATTAAATATAATACATTTAACTTTTAGAAAATTAAATTACAAAATAATAACAATACAAAAGTAGAAAGTACCTGCAAGGACAGATTTATGAGCTTTGAATTCTTGTCCTCCTACATAAAAACTGCAATCTGTAAATCTTGTTGTTTCCCAGAGATTCCCTAAATCTTCTGCTAGTCGACATTCAGGTACCTTCAAAGTGTTTGTATTAGACTGTCCTGATATATTTACTGAGTCTTGGACCACGCTTACCTAACAGAAAATCACAGCAAGACAACTCCTTCATAACTGAATGCCAATAATAATTAAATTACAGCACCTATTGCTAAAATCTCAGCAATTCCAAAGCAAAGCAAAAAAACAGTGATATTTCTGGCATTAGGTCGGAACCATAAACCCATGCTTTACAGTTTACTTTTAAGTAACATAAAACAAATAGGGCTTTACTTACAGACTCCAATATTGTGTATTTATCCAACCAAAACAAACAGAAAGAGCACAATACCACATGTCACCTGACAGAAATGCCAGAGTCAAGGACAGAGATGGTTCTTGGGACACCAGTGGGATCAAAAGAAAAGTTCATGCTATTTCAGAGATAAATTAACAGTTCAACACTCTTCACACATCTAAGTAAAATACATACAATATAAAATTCTAAACAGATCACCAGGATCACAAGCTCACAGAAAAGTTTCATAAGAATAATCCACAGAAATTTTGAATATGATATTCCTAATTTTAATTACAGTAAGTTCATACTTAACCTGCAATGTGATAATGCAAACTAAGTGCAAGCAACATAGCTCCTTCATTATTTCATTTTACTCTGTCCAGCTGAAGTAGGAATCACAAGTGATTGTCTTCCAAACAAGATTAAAGTCATTATTTTAGAAATGTGATGAAATATAAGATGTAGTAGGTAAGTAACTTTAATAATGAAATGCATGCTCACAAGATGTAATTCTTGTAAAAACCAGTGAAGAAAACTGTGAAATACATGCATTTGAAGTGAATATATTGCCATTATCCCCCATGTTTAAGTCTCTCACATAAGTAGTAAACAGGATAGTAGCATTCTTACTTGCTTTTTTCAGATATTTTTTACATACTAAGTCCTTTTAATCAGTATGCTGGGAAAACAGAAGAGCTCAGCAGTTTTTACTTCTGTTGTCTGAGGGCACACACCTGAGAATAAAACCTTCATAAAGAAGAGAGCCATACTACAAGATCCTGATCACTGCATCTCCCGAATACAGAAAATTTAGATTATACATTATGAGAAAATGCTGATACTGTTAAGATCAGTGCTTTGTTTGATTTCCAGAGGCACAGCATCTGGAATAAATCTGGCATAAAGCAAAAAATAGCACAGCTAAGCTTCACAGAAAGTCGGAGCACTGCAAACCAAACTCCAGATCAGAGGAGGAGGATGATCCAATTAAGACAGCAGCTTGGGGATTTGAATCATTGCCAAGTTCCCCGTTTCATCCCATACCCCTTTGTGATTATAAGAAGTTCCTTTATATTCTTCCACCTTTTAAAGGAAAAAAAGAATATCCCAAAGCTCTGCAAAATTTCACTTTCACACTGGAAAAAGTCTATAGAGCTATTGTGTACTCTATTTCACAGTTTTCATACACAAAGTGAATTCGGGAGATATACATACACACAAAGTTTCAGCTTAGCAAAGCTAGTCTTCTGTTGTCAAAGGAGAGTTCCGCGTCTCCAGAGACTTGACTCAAAGTTCATGATCCGGGTTGTCTGCGCAGCATCCTCTTGTTAGCTATAGACCTTGCTAGGCACTGTCATCTACACATTCTTCACGTGTACTTAAACTGATACCTGATGTTCCAAGCTTTTATTTTAGAATGGTTTCTAGTATCTATTGACAGTTGTGCAACGCAACAGTTGGCTATTAGCCATTCTTTTAAGATATAACCTGAGCAAAATTTTAATTCAAGTCTCCTATATCCAAGTGGCCTGGCATGTATTGTCTATAGATGTAACAACTTTTACAGATTCTAAATACAAACACTTACAGGGGTCTGATATTTTGTATCTCCCTTGTCTAGATGGTAAGCTTAAAGTCAAGTGCTTTTTTTTTTTTTAAATTTATTTAAATCACGCTGAAATCCAATCACATGAATCCCACATAACTATTGAAAACTCATCTTAGGTTAAAAGTGACTGTTTTATGATACCTGATACGAATTCTTACTTCAGGCACCTTAGAGTTGTGTTTATAAAATGACTCACAATAGTTAGGGTATCTCTTCACTAAACTGCAGGATGGTAAGATGCTACAACTAATAGCAAACAACTTACCTTAGAGAGTAGAAGCAATCTAGCCAGGATTTCCAGGTACTGCACAAGGTCTGATTTACTTTACTTCTTAGGAAGCTACCCAATACGTAGCTTTTGCCCAGCATACATATTTTAGGGGCAGAGGTCCTGCTGGCATTGCATACACTCATGTGTAAGCATATATAAAAATGTATAAACTAGGACTTTAGTTTATAAACTATATTATCATTACTTTTATAATAATAAACTTATAAAACTAATACTACAGCTTTTTTAGATTTTTTTTTGGTATAACATAGTTTACACTATACTAAAACTATAGTATAAACTATAAACAAGTTCTGTGTGATGACAGTTAACACGGATAATGTCTGTAATTCTCTTGGTTTTGAATCTGTGGTGATCTAAAGGTAAAGAAGATGTAAGTGATACCCTAGACTACTCTCTCAACCTAAGCTAGGTAAGAGATCTGTGAAAGCACCCACTGGGAAAAACATCCCTGCAGAGAATTTACTATTCTATTAGCAAATGAAACTACTCGCACAGCTTCAGTAACTTCAGTTTATATGGAAAGTGAGAACTGAGTGAAACAGATCAGTTTGCTTAAAAAAAAGTAAAATTATGAAGTTGCATTCAATCAATAGGTCACTTGTCGGTGGCAACATCAGGCTTTGCAAAGTATTTAACTCAACAACTCTTCAGTTTCCAATCTAAGGACATATCCAGCTGATCTTAAGAACATTTGGCAACACAGAAGGAGTATCTCTGCTGCCAAGGAAGACCAAATAATCCTTCTGCAAGCCAAGAGGGAGAAAGGAAGAGCCAACCAGCACAGTTTGAACTCTGTGGCCTTTGCTAAATACCTGCCATATCTGACAAGTTTCAGCAAGCCAAGTGCAATATAGTTTTAAGAAGTGGTAAGTTAGTCTTCCAACTAGGATACAAGTAGGAAGGCAAACACAGGAATTAGCATTTACAGTTAAGTTTTGAAAGGACAAAAACTTCAGACTTGTCTATAGAAACAGGTCCTTCAAACAACACCCATTATTTCTAAAGACAGCTGAAGAGCTAGAACACCACATCCGAACAAACAAATTTTAAAAATACTTGGATTTCCAATTTTTTTCGCTCGAGCCTGAAACAAGCCAGAAGTTATTTTAACATGCTCACTGTGCACAACTAAATGTTGTACTTCCTGCAGCATTTATCATCAGGGTAGGTCAAACACTTCTCAGTGTTTTAATGTGAGTGGCTTTTGTGAAGTTTTGCAGCAAAACAGTTATATTTAAAGATTAGCATTAAAATTTAAGTAAGATTTCTCTCTGGAAAATTCAGTATTTGTTCAATTTATTTTTTTTTAAACAAACTTTATCTCTAAAAGTAGATAGTGACCTATTTCCAAAACCAAACACTATTTTTTAAGAGCTGTTAATTTACATCAAAGTATTCATTATGAGGGCAACTTAAAATGAGAAAATACTCAAAAGTATCTTTACAGAACCATAAAACACTTGTTACATCTGCTTTTATCACCGAAATAATTGTATTCGTCACAAATTTATCATGCAGCTAATTTAACTTGTCTAAGTGAAAATAAGATGCACTATATTTGCAATATCTAGTCTCAGGGGCCACATTTCAATTATTCTTCCTACACAGCATAATGACATATAATTAAATTGTAATCTTGCCAAGACAATTTTACACATTTCCTGTAAATACACAGATCAAAGCAAACTTATTAGCAGTTAGAGCATCTATCATCCTCCTAAGTCACTAATCACTTTATGGCAGCAAAGATAACCAGTCAATGTATATTTAACATACACTGTACTCACATTGCAACTTTCTCTAGTTTCCATTTTTAACGCTGAGTAAGCTTTTTACTGAATTTTGATATGACAATTTAGGTTACCAACATAACCGATACTACAAAAGCAACCCATCATACACCATGAATTTTATAAATTTTATGCCACAGCTCTCAATATTAACTCAATATTAAGCAGTCCTTCTACAGGATACTTGCATTTGTTCAGAAAACAAAATGTAACAATTACTATAAGAATAAAGTGTTTCATTTACTGGAAAGACCTGCTCATTGGTTAAAGCCATCAATTATGATACTAGAGGAATATAGATTCTGACAATTAGCTGGTGGAGGTTTTTTTTAATAACGCAATCCAGCATGTAGACATTTCCTATTGCTTATCCAGTGAAAAACAGTCCTATAATTCCAAATACAACTTCTTTAAATAAAAGTGACCTCAGTAAAACCGTACTTCTACAGACAGCACATAACAGCCACCTTTTACATAAATAATTCTACAGTCAATTCTAATGTAATCCTGGCAGATTCAGGAAGAAGCTCAACAGTTTATGCTTCAGTATACACATATCAAAAAAGAAAACAAAATACAATGCAAAGTAAATGTATATTTTACCATATTTACAGTTTACCAAAGACAACTTTTATAGCATGCTACTGTTTAAATCAACATAAACTTCTATTTATTAAAGCAGAAAACATTTTATTTAAAGGTTTACCACTTAAAAATCTATACCCACCTCACAAAATAATGTCAGCTTGTCATCTGGTAGAAGACCATTAGCTTCATCTAGTAAAAAATCTCTTCGGATAAATTTCTTAAAACCCCAGTCCTTGCCTTGCACAAATCGATACGCTCTTTGGCTTTCTAATAAGAAACAGTTATGTACAAATAAAGCAAGTTAAAAATATTAACAAATAACAACACCTAAATTCTACATTCAGGCTGTTAATCAAAAAATGAATCAATTTAACACATTTGGATCACGTGTCACATTTTCAGAAAATCCACAATTAAATTTTTTTTAATGTTGTAATAGTGTTATTTTATAAAACACTTGACAGAACTTAGTAGAGCACAATTTGCAATTCAAACCATATCATCTCCTTAAATGTTATCTTAGGCACCATCCAGCAAGCAAGGACTTTATCAGTTAATGTTTAAGAATGCCAATGTGTCAAAACAGAAATTGTTCACAGGGAAATACCATTACAATGAATTTATCATCACAAATGCATTCTGACAACACTTCTGCAGTTGTCATAACAATCCGTTTTGACTTCTTCCTGAAATGGAAAATCTTGTTTCAAAGGTTGAAATCATTTTGAAATACAGTAAAAGCATTAAAAAAGCTGAACAGAAATACAAGCTTTCAAGTAACAAACTATTTTTTTGGTCATAAAAAGATATTATTTATATTTATCTTTTAGCCATAGAATTATTCTTTTTTAATCCATCAGATTTGCCATGACCACACAACCCTTTTTTTCCAGTTCTAACGTTCACAGCCCGCAAAAGAGTTCCCAAGGTCATATTAGTGCAAATACATGTAATTCAGTAAGATTTGCTATTTTACATGGCTTACAGGTTCACTGTAAAGTGGCAACTTGTTCCACAAACTGAACCACAGGAAAGAGCATGATATACTTTTATGTGGAACGAAAACATGGGAAAGAGGTTATTTGGGAATGGCTTTGAGAATATACGTAGAATAAACCATGTTCTAAATTATATTTAGAAAGATCATTCAAAATGAAGAGAGCAAGAATACTTCTGAAATAACACCACAGGAAAGTAAAAAAAAAAAATCTCAAAAGTATTTTTTCCTTTCATTCTGAAAAAGCTGGGCAAGAAACATGACATCATTTCATCTGCTGTATGGATACTTTAAACTTCTAAATTGCTCTCCAGAAGGCTAAGTCACAATTTTTTTATAAGAGTAAAGTATTTTTCATGACAGAGTCTGTTAAAATATTATTCTTTCTACAACATTCAAATAAAGACATCAGGAAAGTCAGACTTCTCTACACTAGTTAACTGTGTAGCATCACTGAAGCAGACTCAATCACGTAACACGCTGCATATGTTAGAAGACACACACATATAATGCATTGTCCTCACTGCCAATAGTTGGAAAAATGATACTCACAACAGTTTTTCCCTAGAATTAGATCGAGCAAAATATGTTGTACAGGTTTTGATTTTATTTTTTAAATACAATGAAAAACAACCCAGGAATTGACAATGCAGGAGGCGTCTCCATCCCTATCACCTTATCACACTCGCATCTTCAAACAAAAAAACCCCTTACCCATGTAGAGCACAGAAGCAGAGGGAAATGCGCTTACTGAAGTGCCACATGGGCTTTCAGGGTAACAGAACAAATTTAGACCACTGTTCACATTTTTAAATCTGTAAGCCAATGAAGAAAAATAGCCATTTTACAAAATATTGCTTGAGTTTTCTGGCATCTGGATTAGTGTTTTCACATTTTTACCAACTTGCCAAAAACTCAGAACAAACCTCATGAAATTGAATGAGAAAATAAAATCAGAAAATCACATTTGAAAAAAAAAGTCAAAAATGTCTTCTCTAGATTCAGCTCAATTCATCATTTCGCAGACTAAGATTTTACTGCTACCAGCAATGACCACTGTTAACCCTCTGAAATTAAGTGATCAGTAGCAATTTAAGGAAACCACAAAAACAAAGCAGCATAAAAGTATAAATGTATTTTTTTTTCTAATAAAGTTAAAATATTAGTTTGTTACCTATTTTATACACAGCTTCACCACTTGAAGCAGCAGTCTATGCATGAATTATCAATTTACAAAGGACATCTAAAGTCGGGCATCATTATACTGTATAAATAAAAACACAGCGTCTCCAGAAGCAGATGGTAAATGGCTGGAAAGTCCAAGAAATAAGATTTCTGTTGGTAATTTCCCAAAATGATGTTTATAATTCCTGTAGTGCCAAATACAGGACAGCTACTATTGCAAAAACTGAAGACACATCTACTCATAGGATTTTTGGGTTTTAGCACCAATGTGATTTTTAGCATTTAAAGTAACACTTGGAATCTTCAGGAGTGCCTCTCTGAAGTGCCCATAAGCTCTAGTACACAGCATGGGGTAGAAACAGGAGGAATTAGAGGTCTGTGTGCAGTTGCAGGGCTACGATCTCCATGGCCTCCCAGAGACATGGTGGGATAGCTCAGGCAACTGGAGTGCTGCAGTGGAGGGGTAAAGGTTCTTTTGGGAGGCCAAGCCAGGAAGGCGAGGCAAGGGAGCTACCCTTTACCTGAGAACTGCAGGAACGTGTGGAGCTCTGCCTTGCAATGGATGATGAACCAGCTGAGAGTTTATGGGTCAGGAGTAGAGGGCAGGCCAACGTGAGCAATGTTGTGTGCACTGTCTGCTACAGACCTACTGATCAGGAAGAAATAGACGACTGGCAATTGGGGTCCTGGCGGACAATGAACAACATCCAGCAACGAACCTCTAAGGTAAAAAAGGACCAGCTAGTTAAACACTAGAACCGGTTGCCCAGGTAAGTTGTGGAGTCTCCGTCCTTGGAGATATTCAACACATGACAGGTCCCAAGCAAATTGCTCTAGTTGATC